CAAGAGTACTGCACGGACAGAAGCATAGTACACACAGCCCTTGAGCTTGAGATTGACATCACGACGATGCCATAGCTGTCTCAGTTTTATGAATGCAAGGCGGTCCTCGGCAATCGGTTGTGAGACCATCTCCAACACCGCCACCTGCCGTGATGCAACTCCCTAGATAAGTAAAGCAAAGGACTTGCTCCAGAACATGTCCAGCAATGGTAAGCGCAGGTTCATGCACCTGCCAATATTGGGGCAGAGTTTTACATTTCCCCGGAGTGAAGCATAAGCCGTAGTTAGACGCCTCCATTGCTAAGCGGTCCAAAGCGCTCTGGACGGTTAATGGGTAGTCCCCCAACAAGACGATAGCATCGGCGTAATCCTAGTCCATGACTCTGTCTCCAGGGAGGAGCACAACACTGCAATTCTGGACACCTTCCAGTGCTACTTGGACGACACGTTCGATGGCAAAATTGAAGAGGAAAGGTGAAATAGGGCAACCCAGGCGAACACCGCTGGTCACAGCAAACGAAGAAGAGAACGTGCTGTAAACCTTGACTTTGCCCGACGTTTGGCCGTAAAGTTCTATCAGGGTGGTTACAAACATTTCGGGCACACCTTACTTCAGTAAACAATTCCACAACGCGGACCTATCTACTGAATCAAATGCCACTCGCGTGTCCAAGAACACTACGATAGTTGGCCGCCGGTGGATGTGACGGAGTTCGAGAGGTTGGCGGAACGTGAAGATTTGGTCGATGCAGCCACGACCTGGACGAAATCCAGCTTGTTCTCCTAGGGCAAAATCCACTCTAGTCGGTGAAAGCCTGCGAAGTAGGACCGACACGAAAATTTTGGATGCGACAAAGCCTAACGAGATTCCGCGGTAGTTAAGGCAATCGCCGCAGGAGACATTTTTGTGAATCGGAACAATGACCGATTCTCCCCATGAGTTCGGAACCTAACCCTCAGTCCAAACTTTCACGATCAGCGATAGGATTTCGATGACAAGTACACTTTCGCCATCTTTGAATAGGGCCGGTGGTAGGCTGTCGGGACCAGGAGCCTTGTGGCGTTTCAAAGGTTGGATTGCATCTCGGATCTCTGCTTCAGTTGGGGGGTCTGTGGAGACAGGCCAAGCATCATTCATTGGGGCTCGGAGTGCCACAGGAGGCTGTGTTGGGTGGTTGAATTGAAGAGTGAAATGCTCTGCCCAGCGACCCAATCGCCTGTGAAGGTTAGTGATCTTTGTGCCGTCTGATTCGTAAGTCGTCTGGCTGATAGCGTGGGAATTGCAACCGGTGGCCTTGATGATGCAAAATAGACGGCGGAAATTACCAGCCGATGCAGCGGCTTCCATCTCATCAGCTCGTTTTGACCACCAGGATTCATGATCGGAGCGAAGACTTGTTTCCAGCTGTTGCGTACTAGACCGGCGGTGTTCGTTGTGCTCTGTACCAGCAGGCACCGCCCATCGGCGATCCAGCGATTCCAAGGATCTTCCCGAGATCCAGCTTTTGGGAATGGAGCAAGCGAAGCCGCAGCTGGACAAACCGGCCAACAGCATGGCTTTTTGCAGATTTGACCAGTGTTGATCAACATCCAGAGTGGGAGAGACAGCGAGATTTTCACGAAGCCTTTGTCGATCGTCCTACTTCACTACGGATTACTCCACCTTGTAGATGTTCAGTCGCGTGTGTTTGGACCTAGGTGAACCACCGAAACGCATGCAAATGGTCGCACATACCAGTGCATGATCGGTATCGACGCAGGTTGACCAAGATGATCGGCAGTCGCGTACGATGCCGCGCAACCTGCGACTTATAGCTATGTGGTCAATCTGTGACCAGCGTTGGGTTGATGATGGTGGTGCCAAGTGGCGTACTGGCGTCCAGGATGACGAAAAGTCGTGCTGGAGAGGAAAAGCTGATGATCAGCACACAGACTGAGCAGTCTCTCTGTTGTCTGAGCGAACATCATCATATCCATTGGGTCCCCCGAGGTGGCGCTCACATGGCGGCAGCCGACCGACACACGTCTTGGAGTCTCCTGCCAAAACATGGATGTCTGTTTTAGGAGCCCTTTAAAGCAGCTCATGAAGGTTCCGGTAGAACTGGTCCTCGAATGTGTCCGAGCTACCGTCAGTGGGTGCGTAGACAGAGACCACGAAGTCAGCACGCTTTTCGACTCGACGTCTGCTAACTTTACAAGAGCCATGGAGCCTCATCACACAAAAGCGACTATTGATTGGAATCAATCAATCAGAGCAGGCTAGGTTCAAGCACTGAGGGCGAATACAACACCAGGTTTCCCAGGTGCGGCAGACTCGGCGACACCAGAGAGGCGGAGATGGAAACGGGTGCGTGGGTTGAGCGGTGACGCCAACTGGTAGACCGAGTTGTAGTCATGGAGCCGCCTTCCACTTAGGCCGCAGACATCAATTCCAAGGGTCTCTAGCGTGGGTGCAAGTCCAGCTTGCTGACCGATCTGCAGCAATGTGCATACGTTGAACGTTGCAAGTTTGAACTGCGTTCCGGGTTGCAGGAGCGAAGATGGGAGACTTCGGGGCTGGCAGTTCCCTGTTGAGCACTGTGTGGTTGAGACGGCAGATGTCACGGGAACAGACACATCAGTGGACGTGGGATTGACCGCCGTAGGCTAAACAGGTAAAATGGGTGTGAATGGTACAAGGGAAAGGTAGATAAGATGGTAGCGTGTGCTTTTGAAGTTGGCATGGTAAGATGAGTGAATAGCATCGTAGCAACAAGAGAGCTTGTGAATGGTGGTAGTTGTAAGTCCATGGACCGTCAGTAGGCGAGATACTACCCGGTTGCGTAGGTCGAGGTAAGTAGGATGTCTTAGGGTACCACCGCCCCCAGGCCCTTGGCCAAACGGCCTAACCCACAAGGCAGCAGGGCGAGATGAGTGATTCGCACCCGTTGGGAGCCGGTGGCTGGACTCTCGGTTCATACCTCTTTCGGATGACGATAAGCCATGCCGGAGGTCCGACACTCCAGAAGTCAGAGACAAGATCCGATGCTCGGATTGGTTGCCGGTGTGCAATATCTCTAAAGGAGACATGCTGTTGCATCATGAAATCTTGTCGCGCCAACGACTGGATGGGAATGAATCCCAAACGTCTCCGGTTTGGATTTGCGTAGGCGCAACGGATCACACAGTATTCCTGGTCCGCCCACGACTAGTGGTTATCCTGTGACAGCGAAGCGTCGGTGTGCCGTACCGGCCTTCCATTTTCTTGCTTTGCTGCAAATGCTCCAACTGCTTACACTGCCTAGGGTATACCCTCGGCCCACTCGCAATCACGCTGCATCATACCGTGCTTCGCTGGATAAAATCTCGAGATGATAAGCCAATGACGGTGAAAAGAGCAGAAAAAAACTCGTCGTTGTGCGCTGATTTCCCGAATATGATCTTCGATATCAGCCACATCAATAGCCAAATAACCTATGGGGAAGTACGATGTATTCGTTGGATGATTTCCGACTTTTACCTAATCTATCTAAGGGTCATGGTATAATTTATTTCGCCCCTGGCAAACTGACCATTCACCACCCGTTTTCGTTGCATTTCTTATTACCGAAGCCATGTGGAACAATGGAACTGGAATCACCGCAACTCGACGCACGATTCAAAGCGAGTCTGCAATAAACCAGTGAAGATCCGAAGACGAAAGAGACACCAGGGACGTCGGGTGACGACTGAAGAATCAGTTGAACCTGCTTTTTATCGAGCAAACAGCCAAGTGCACACCTGATGAGTCCAAAGAAGGACGAAACCGTATTGAGAGGACGAACATCGGTCCCGGTCATGGTGATTGTTATGACCGAGGTTTACTTCAAGTTAAACCGAGGTCTTACTATAGAGACTGCGTGTTGCAATCTAACTAACCACACGGTCGGTACTTCAAACGCAATTATAAAGTTGAGCACACAGTGTAAAAACTAGGAGACGGACAAGTTACACTAATCAAATAACAATCTTTCGGCTGTCAAATTGAACAGACAGACGAACAGTTGAGGAGATAAACAAATATTTCAAAAGGCTAATGACGAGTTGGTCAAATTGATCTTCCGAACACCCGTGCAAAAATAATCGAACAAATGAATGAAACGGAATGTCCGATCTAATGGAACGGCGATAAACAGCCGGCTGTGATTCTGCATGGTATTTCATGCTGGATCTGGTTTGCACACGAACAGAATAAACGCCAGAAACGGCGATCCCAACTGTGGACAATGCAATTGAGCATCGATCATACGTCAACCAGCTAGCTGGATCAGCGCAAATAATTCTGTGCGCAAGTGATGGATGAAAATTCTAAAATAGGACACAGGTACTGCGACAGAATCACGAAATGACGCAGACATGGCACAACACGCCGAGTGAAGTGCAGAACGGAGCTCGATCAAAATGCAACACACCGAGGGGGTACAATTAGCAGCAACACATTGTGAATCAGTCAATCATAAAACGGAGAGAACTAGAGTGAATTGACTAGTAGATTAAACTCCAGCCTCCAAATGTTGCCAAAAACTCATCCAAAAATGGCGGTCTCAAGCAGCCAAATTCCACTGCGCAAATGTATGCTCTAATTTTGCGCCCCGATTGTTTTTGGCAAAGATCGTACACAGCTTATGCACATTAGGGGAAAGCGATTCCAATGAAAAATAGGGTTGCCGATGCGAAAGCGTTTCGAGTAGGTAGAACGTCAAGTTTCGCAGGTTGGATCACCGGAGAATATCGAACAGACCAGCAAGCCTAAAACTGAGCAACGATGGGCAGACGATGAAGCCTCTGTCACGTGTCGTTGAATGTGGGATGCAGCTGTCATTCAGAGCTAACACTGCGACCTGCTCTCTCCCAAAAATAGCAACCAATGAGGAATACGGAGGTTGATGGTCGAATCTTCAGTGTACCTGTGCATCAACCACAACTCCGTTTTGAGGAAACTCAAACTTTTGTCTTAGCTATCTACAGGTGAAGTGACTTACTGTTTTTCGAAAAAGTTTTTCTCTGTGATACCGGAGACACACACGGCAACGACCATGAGAAATAGAAAGCTGCCGGATGCAACGTGGATAGGCAAGACTTTCGCCCTCACTCTTTGGGGGATTTGAGGAAGAAGAAAAGAAATGAGGCCGCCAATCCACTATTGGTAGAGAACGAAAAGGGGAACAATGTTACCACAGTGTATTGTACATGGATGAGAGGTAATAGGTTAGGAAAAGTGAAATCACAAGCAAGCAATTCCGGGATTAATAGGTAGTAGTTGGAAGACAGAACTAGAATGCATAAAAAAGGTTTCAAATTTTTAAATATTATCGAAAACGGTTGGAAACGAAGCAGAAGGAAAGGAAATCGGTTTTGAGATCCTTCACAATACTTCAATAGTGCTTCATCGAGAAAATGCCACCTGATTAGCTTACCACACAAATCAATCTGTAAAGCACAACATGTGCCAAAGTGGTTGGGACAAGTGATTTTGCAACAACATGGGACGAATCTGAAAATCAATCGGAGCCCGGCATCGTCTATCACTTGGCAACTCGACACCGGGTGAACCCGGAGACTACCTCCAAGGTGTTATTACGTAACAACAACCAGATAATTTTGACAATTAGTGAGACGCTGCTAATTAGGGCTTATCAACCCGTGTTGTGTGCACAGAAATTATTGTGACAATCAATTAGGTTACCATGGTCTTGATTTTGATATTTTGATTGGTGTGCAAATTTTTCGGAAATCGTCAGCAGTGTGCATTTCATCGGACGCTTGTAGGATTCGAACCCGAAACTCGACTGTTGCCAGATTGTGCTTGAAATCACTGAGCTACAGGGACGGCAAGGACAATAATGAATAAGTTACTAGATGTGATATAGCGTCACTTACTATTCATTTACTTGCATGTTAATGCCGTGCAGAGGATATGGTAGCCCCCTCATCAAGCGACGAAGTTACCAAACTTAGGCTGCCAATCAACTTATGGCACTATAAGAAGTTTGGTCTGCGTAATGATTACAGAGTAGTCCGAGGAGTTGAATGACATAGGTAGAAATTTATCACATAGCGAGCGGTGCTATATCACGTCTAATAACTTAGGCACGATGGTAGATACCGTCCCCCGTAGCGCAGTGATCTCCATGATAGACTGGGAAAAGTCGAGTTGCTGGTTCGAGCTCTACAAGAATCAGATGGAATGTGCACGGTTGACTATGCTCGAAAGGAGGAAACGGCAGTACAGTGCTTTTCCGGGCGTGTGATAGTTGTCTGACCGAATCTAGATATGATAAATTGCTATCTATAATAGAGAGTAAACCAACACGCAACCACGATGAGATCAGAAAATTAGCGCATGTAAAATGGCAGAAAATAAGGGGAAATGTCTGCATAAACTACCGCTCTCATGTGCACTTCTTGAAGCAACGCGCATATGAGTTACAGCAAGACAGTTAAGACATGCAGTGCCGCAACGATGGCAGAGTAAAAACAGAACCCATCAAAGACGACTCACTTGGATGGCGAAAAGAGCGACGGTACCGATTCCAAGCCAACTGTGCAGACTGTATAGATGTGCATAGTTGAAGATGTCGTGCATTTCGAACACGGCGCGAATGCCAATAACGGAGAAGAGAAAGGCAAGAATGTGTAGGACCGCATGAAGCACCTTGATTGGTAATTTGCGGTAGTTGTTGAAGACTCGGTACACGAGGATAGCTGTACGAGGGCGATTCGAGAGAGAGATGAAATGGTTACTGCTTCGAGGCAACAAGGTGCAAAACCGAGTATGAAACGCAGCATGATGCTGATACTAGCAAGTCGACAACAGAACAAGGAGTTTACGGGGAGAAAACGTGTGAGCAATGAGGGTGTTCGACGCCCTGTTTATGGCACAGAAAAAGGAAGTGAAGCTTTCAGCACCGTTATTTCATGGCTGGGCCACGTGTTGCGTATGCCAGCACACCGACTCCGGCGAAGTGTGCTATTGGCGGGCCGGTGGTGTGGATGGAAGAAGAGGAGGAAGGCCAAGTGATGACTTGTTCAAGAGGAATGAAGACCCTTAGTTCGAAGTTGGCCTCGGTTGGAGCCCCTAGGCTTCCTGATTGGGGTTCGAAAGACGTTTGGCTGGATGCACTTGTTGACATGGCTAGAAACCGACTTCAGTCGCGATTGAGTTGTGTGTTTCTTTGTCGCTCATCCATCAGCTTATCCTCCCCCTCCAGCCACGATCTTATTTCCTAGGCATAATAGCCAGCTGGTAGCTCTCCGGAACGATGCCCATACGTGACTGGTGGCTCAGTTGGCGTACAGATTTCGTTCTACTTTCCTTATGTATTGCGGCACAATAGCTAAGGTGTTTTTTCACCTCTAGCTAACGTGTATAATAATGATCATGAGGCATACGGAATCCGGTCGTGAGATGTGGTGGTGTTGGGAGAAGACAAAATCAAAAACTCCGCACCTCGAATGCGGTCCACCCAGTGATCGCAATCACCAACGTTCGCTTAGATGTATGACGGAGACCAAATGGAGATGAAGCGTCTCAAGCCAAACACGCCATCTGCACCCCCAACCTAAAAGATCTGATCGCTGTACCAAGGATTGACTGTAGCGCCCAATGACACAGTGAGCAACGCGTTAGTGGCTAGCCACTACGTACTGGGGGCTCCAACCCCAGCTCCGTCCAAACAAAGACGAAACCGGTAGTGCAGCGCAAGTTTGGGAGCCAGCAACACCACAGCAATCGATAAACGCAAATATTGGCCTCTCAGAAATCAGCCGCAAGTATTGAAGAGTAATCAGGCAGTACAGTGTTAGTATATTGGAGAAGAATGAATACCCAGAACAAGAGAGACACAAACTCGCGTTGAAGCGTCGAGTTTACTTAGCTGGGCAATGAAAGTACGTGGATTGAATATAGCTAAATCCAAACAAAGCGCCGAACTGGCATAACTTTTGCTTATCGAAAGGTGTTTCCCTCAATCTGATGAAACGCATGTTTGCGGTTAGTGCACCTTATGGAGGACAATGAAAGCTGGTAAGAAGCCTTCGTTGCGACGCGCAATCTAAATGGGGACCATCATTCGCATTGAACCTAGGTCATTTCGAACAGCGGGACCGTGACTGTTGTAGCTGATGGATATTGGGTATTGTCCGCCAGAAAACTGCATTCTAGGATCAATTTCGAACTTTATAATCTCAGCAGCAGGAAATCAAACTCTGGGCATTCGGAATATTAGCCGAAACCTCTCACCATAAGCCACTGAGTCTCTGTGGGTAACACTTGTCACGACGGTTAATGACTGATTAGAGGGTCAAGCTGAAGCATACGTTGTGTGAATTGGTCACGACGCGTTATCCCAACGTGGAGCGCGAACTGTAATGGAATTAGAGCTGGTAAATTCCATCAGTTGGATCATAAATGAGGAAGCACATGGGCAACATCTAAATAAGCTTACAAAATTGAAATCTTTTGAGTGGTTTCGTCGTTTTTGGCCTCGTCAGCAGTTTGTACTTCATTCCCCTGTCGAGGGACTAGAACTAGAGACCCATCGTGGTGGTGCTCAAGGTTGTTAAGGGGATTGATCCAGTAATCAATGCAATTGATCCACACTCCCCGCCGTCAAACTAAAAACCTCGCGTCAAAATGACTGCTCACATACACAGTGAAAGGAGCTGTGAAAATTGGTGAACGAGGTCAGTTTTACTTGCCTGCAAACAACTGACAGCTATGTGTCAAATCATCGGAGAACGTGCCGGTGTCGTCGAACCACATCATGAACGATCAATGAACACAACGCTACGGTCAATGCCAAACTTATGACAGCAAGTGAGATCTCTATAAATGACTAGCACACACGTCCAGTCCATTGAAATCGATGGCGGTAAATAAGCGGTGGGTGAAGCAGGAGGCAGACAATAAGAGAAATCACTAAGTGAAGGATTAGTCCGTCAAACTATCTAAAGTCCGACTCGATAGACGCGCCCATAGAAGTAACTAATCCTGAGGATCAACCAGAGTGCACGACTGTTTTGTAAAACTAGAGATTTGTGTTTGCCTGGAAGTCACCCGTCTGACAAATCCCGGAACCAGGGTAAGATCCACGTTGTCTTGTTTAAAACCGTTGTTCAGTCTGATATGTGCGGCACTGAAAGCCACAGATCACAAATGCACAGACCATCGTACAACGTCGGAGTGCATCGTCGTTAGAAGAGCACTGGAGGCGCAATTCTACAGACGAATCGTAGTCGGTGGCCCCTCTTAATGGTGGGAACTAACCTCAAGCGGAGATTAAGCTAATGTAAGATCTAATGTAAGCAATCTCCGGCAATATAGGATTGTGCAGCAACCGAGTTCAATGACTACACTGTAAAATCTAAATACTCAATTTGCCCGGTTATAACAAGGATATTCCTGGGAAGATGCACCAAAAGAGCTATGAAAAACGTAAAGAAATGTGGTGTTATTTGGTGAGACGTATTTGAGTCTCGGCGAAGAATCGGAGTCATGTGATCAGAGAATGTTCCAGGGGACGAAAGTGTAATTTCTCAACGGACGCAGCGTGGAAGCGTACTCTAGCTATTATTCCATCTAACGCTGTCCCGCCGTAAGATTCAATTTGAAATGGAACTATAGATTTCAAAGTGTCAGATTGACAGTCCGCACAAGTTACAAAAGATTAGAAGTTACTTTAGGAAGAAGACGGTTGGAAAAAGTGGGAAATGAAAACAGCGATACTGAAAGGAACCGACGTGTATGTTACAGTAGAACAATCTAGTTGGAAATCCCATACTACGACTACCATTTTAAACAAATAAATAAATAAGATTATTCTCGAATTATTCGAGGCACACTAAATCAGGCATGATCAAGGTGGAGTTTTGACAACTAGCGTACGCTCTTCACTATATTAGGTGGCACGCATGGGTATAAGGCGTAGGTAACAACGATGGTGGTGAAAATCTCAACCATCCATCGTAACTCACCTTCAACCTCATCGAATTTTCTGTCTAGATGCAGAAAAGTAACCTCGTCCCTTAATGACAGTGTAACTAACAGTCTTCCTAGCAGAAGGATGCAGCGAGGCTATCCATACTTGGAGTACCAATTTTTGAGTAGCAGACGAGAGTGTGTGTTCCGCGAGTCACTAGTAGTTCGGTGTGACACTTCAGACCCACGTAAGATCTTAAACGCTGGCTCAACATTGCCACATTTCCTGAATAGTGTGGCACATATACAATCGATGGAGCTTGATGGATTCCATAGGTGACTAGAACTTAAGTCCCAGTTGGGCCACAAGTACGCAACAATTGTAAGGGCACAGCTACCCAACAAGCGATAATCGCTCTTCTGGCGGTTTATGTTTGCATTACAGAATGCAAACGACGGCCATCTAACCGACTGGTATCCTTCTACTAGTGAAATATTCCAAGACAGGGTGCTGGGGCCAACTCAGTGCCTAATCCACATCAATGATCTACCTCGGATTCTTCGGTTACCGTGTGCTCTGTTTACAATTAAGCAGAAGATTTGGGAGAGTGATTAGCACCGCAGATGTGTGTTGCCTACTCCAACCATCTTTCCACAGCGTTTGAAGAAGTCCCTCTGATGACTAACCCAGCCAAGTCGGTATTTGTGAGGCTGGGGAAGGGTGGTTACCGTCAAACTTACAACATTGACGGTCAACTGTTACATCCCACTTTTTCCATGAAGTGCTTACGTGTAGTCTCGCGCTGAGATTTGAATTTCGTGGACGATAACGACAGGCTATATCGTAATGGAATGCGCATACTTTGGGCGCTCAAACACAGCCTCTGGACTTGTTCTAATGAGGTCGCCACTAGCCTCTTCTTTTCCATAATAAGGTCAATGCTGAAGTATGGCTTGCTCGTCCACTGTTCCCTCAGCTCAGGCGAGTCACAGAAAGATCAAACGGGACCAACACGTCGTAACCAGGTGCATTCCGAGTTTACGGAGCTTGCCGTACAAAGATCGGTGCGAGGAACTACGACCCAACACATTATCCGACCGTCGGGTACGAGTTTATCTCATCGTGACCTGTGGCACATTACATCTCGGTGACTCTCCCGTGTTGAGGCCGCTGCGCCACAGTTGCGAACGTCATGCAGCGCACGGAGACACCGGGACAAGCTTGTGGCGATGAATTTGGGGCGAGTTCTCCACCCCCTCTGCTTCGAACAGAGTGGTAAATACTTGGAACAGTCTGCTAGAACATGTCGCCAAGTCGAAATTTATGCACCAGTTCAAAACTATACTGGACTTATATGCCAACTCTATTTGATTCAGAGAGCGAACCCACACTGCAATGACGCTGCCCATTTGTAAACCTTATGATATTGTGAGTCAGATATGGTTAAATGCTACATAAATAATTGAAGTACGACCAGTGATCGATATTTGTTATAACATTTTTGATCATTTTCCGATGAAGGTGTACGGATAAAAATTTCTGCTTGCTTCCACAACACAGTACTCAGTAGCACAATAAGCAAGACATAGGACATTTCGTTTTGGAATAATTTCAGCCTAGCCGTGTAAATGAAGATAAACACAGCACAGTGAGTATACGGTGACATCAAGAGCAGTACTAACTGTGAAGTACCTCGATGCAAGCTCGCAGATATATGCTAGAGATCAAAACGGTCGATGTGTGCAGCATACAAATACATGAAGGGATGCCGACAAGCGAACAGTG